TCAGACATTTCCTTGGAAATCCTCCCCAAATGAAAAACCACTTTCAAGGGGCTTCCACAACGAATGCAATGTTTGGGCTATTTGCGCTGGGAAGGCTTACATCTTTACACTGCAGTTTACAACTAAGATTCAAACCTGGCCTTTGTTTCATGAATCAGCACTTCAGCTGCCCATGGTGATTCCCTGAATTTAAGGGAAAATCGGGAGAACTTATGAGAACATAGCTATTTAGTTCCCTTAGTGACTATGGACTTCACATTTGTACACCTTATCCATGTCTGATTTCAAGGCCTATAGGGTCCAAAGTACCACAACGTTCCCCACCAGTGTCTCCTTGTCCGGCTTCCCATGCCACAAGGCTTATTCTAGCCATCATTGCCACGGCCCCCGCTCGCATGTACCTGGACACACAAATATATTGCGTGACCGTAATTACAAATACAAAAAAACATTGCACCGTGCCTTGTAATATCCGTAGCCATACTCCATAAAGATGGCGCCAAAATGTATCACCTCATCGGCTGCCTCTTACGTTGGCTATATGTTGGACCCCAGCCCATGCTACATTGCAATGTCGAGTTGTGAACCGTGCCGATATTCACCGAAATATAAGACTTCTTCATTTCTCTCGTTTTTTCCGAGCCGCTGACAGCGCTTCACCCTTCGTTCTTAACCCCAGCACCTCTCGCGGGAAGAAAATTAATGAATCATACTTCCAGAATATTTCTTGTAAACGCTGCAACGCCCCATATTGCCTTTTTCTCTGAAATTCTCTAGACGATCGAATTGAAAGTCCGAAGGGGGCTTGGATAAATTCGTACCTGTTCTCTCCCAGTTTAAACAATCTTTTCCTCCAGTACCGACCCTACCTCCATCACTGTGGGAAAATGAACTAATGATACCGAACAAGAAGTCTTACCAGAACTTGTCCCTTTGAAATTCGCGGTATGCTTGCCGACTTACCTCACAGGACGACTAACAGGAGCGAGGGCGGTGTGAAGTTGGTTCCTCGGTCCCCGTTTGACATTCGACATTCAATGTTTAACAAGTAACCGTTCCATTTTCGAACGTTGAATAAATAACCGTTTGACATCCAGGGTGCACTCGCCTTACAAGCTAAGGAGTGCAAAAGGCACAAAAAAACAAAGTCTGGGCTTGATTTGAAGCTTTGCATGGTGGAAGTTGAGATGTACATGTAGGCTTCCAGGTACAACATGGAATCAATCTCTTGGAAGATGTGTGGTTATTAAAAGAACCAGAGAGTGTTAACTCAACTTTTCAGCCAGGATACTCTAGCTGTCCCCTGGAGAGTGTGCTAGACTCGAGTGGAGATGCGGTGGGGCTTGTAACGGGATTCGCGGGTTGTATACCTGGCCGTACGGGCACTGGAGCATGAAGGTGTTGGATCCGGTGGTGGATCAGGGATGCCAAGGGTGCGGGGGTTGTGGCTTCGGGTTGAGAAGACCCTAACGCCTGGGGTGGGTGCATGGTATGGGTTTTGGGTATAGGGAACCCTACTGTTGGGGGTGGGGGCTGTCTTGGGTGCCAGTAGAGCGGGCACCATATGTCACTGAGCTTGAAACCGATACTTTGGGAACGCAGTTGTGCCGGAAATCTCGATGGCTTCTCGGATTCTTCTTGGAAGCCTGTTATGGATGAGAGCGATGAGTTCTGCGTTGTCCCATGTGATGTTGTGGTCCAAGGAGTGTGCATGTTTGACGACGGCCGATTTCCCGTGTTCTCCTAGTCGGCCGTGCACACGGTGTTCTTGGAGCCTTGTGGGGAGGTTCCTGCCGGTTTGTCCGATGTTTACCTGGCCGCATTCACATAGGATGCGATATACATTGGGGCGACTGTTGGTTGGAAGCTTGTCCAAATGGCATAGCGTATGTGCAACTTCAGTCTCCGATTACTCAAAACGAGGTTTAAGGAATCATTCCTCATCTAGGCTAGTCTGTACCATCTCGTTGAGCTAATCATTTTTTATGTCATGTGAATCATGTGCAGGCCTACTTAATCATGCATGATAATGTGGAGATAAGCTGCAACCAGTCAACACGAAGAAACCACTCAAACCGAGACTGTGTCTTGTACCCTCGATCATTTTTGATTTCCTGGCATCACATAATTTGGATTTTACTTCATGAGCGATTTTACTTCATGAGCGATTTTGGTACTCTTGCGCCTTAATTCGTGCAGCTCCCTTGAACATTCACAGCCTAAATAATAGTTCCCCCGTTCAAACGCGGGGTCTTTAACACATCTGATACCACCCGTAAAAAGAATCTTGCAGGCAATATTCACGGCAACAGCCGCTTCATTTAATTTATGAAGAATTAGGTAGTACGGGTTTTTGTTTTGTCTTCCCATCAGGTCCAATATTTAATACAGGTATTTTCAAATTTCATTCGCCTGACGTCCCTGTCAAGCCGGGAATAAATTCAAATGTAAATAGTGAAAATCTGTGCGGACTATTTTAAATTTACATGAACTTTTTAATGCCTTTTTGCATTTTACTGTCCACAATTAAATGGTATACTAAATAGTCTTAGTAGTTTTGCATTTGAATTTTTTTTAAGTATAAAATAATGAAAATTATTCACGTAACGGTTAAACGTTTAACCGTCTTCGAATCATAATATGCTAAAAATGCTTTTAGAGGTGGGGGAGTAATTAACCAAATAAATAAATTGAATTAGTTAACTATTTAGCCTATGCCGGTGTGGAATTTTATTTAACATAGAAAGGGTTCTCAGCTTATATACGGCAACAGGCGTGGCCGCGTAGAGCAATGGTCGTCAGCCTGTCCTCGGGCACATCTTGCCCCGGCTGTGGAATACGTTTTTTTAATTGTGTTTGGTTTGTGAGATAATGCATTTTGTTTCTTCAGACTTCTTTCAGTTATGTAGTCATCTTACTCTCGGAGTAGACTGACCCCCATAAGACTAGTTTTCTTTGAAGTAAGGGCACCCTTTTTATATTCTGTGGTTCTCATTTCCGACCGACCCTATTTCGGGCTCCCGATCACGGAAAAAAAGCTTTTTTCCGGCCGACCCTGCTAAAAAGACTTAAACCCAAAAAAATGAAGGGAAAAAATGGCCAGCATGACCTTTGAAAACACTGAGGTTCGTGCATAGCCCTACACCAGCAACATGGAATTTTTTAAAGGATTTTTTTTTCGACCGACCGACCATATCTCAAGTGGTAAAAGAAATGAGAACCATGGAATTTAATACCAAAAAAACACGCAAAGTCCATGCTCTCCGACAGTAATGCTTACAACGTACTTTTAAGATATCAAATTCAGAAAATACTTATAATAAAAGTGAGTGAGTGTGATATGATAACTTTCGAATGTTTTCATGTTTTTGTAGATGAATGTAAAGTTGAATGAATGATGAATGACGTCTCTTCCGCGACTGCAGCTGTCCAAGTCATGCAGGCCGTCGGCATTCGTTACGACCATATGAAAACCAGGCTTTGTATCTCCCATATGACAAGACTTTGGTATTGCTATCGGAATACCAACAGATTTAGTTTACAAGTAAAGTATCGCTAAAAAAATAAATACAAATTGAGGAACAAAACCTTGAGAAATATCTGCATTCGCTTATTAGGGTATGAGGGGCTTGAGGGATATGGTCACCATTCAAAGAGTGAGCCTAATGCATAACTGAAATATAGGTCATATTGGACAGTTTTACAATAGATACGAGGCTATTTGTAATGTAATTAGGCAGCGTATATTAAAGTCACTAATGGTTAACACAATATGAACAAAAATACCACCCAAAATGAACCAAAGAAACAACAAAGAAAAAAATCAATGGACTTTCTAATTTGTTTCAAAGCTAATTCTATCTAAACAGGGTGTCCCAGAAAAAAAAACCCGAGGAGAGGGGTTAATATGCCCAAACCATGAGATATGATTATAATGCATAAAGATCTCTAATAATACAAGCAAGATTCTTTCTAATGATACCTTGATGGTATCCCTCCTGTCATGCATGACTGATGAGCACCATTGTCTTGAAAATGGGGCATCCGAACTCAGTTGTAACACTTTGGATAAACCAGTTAATGAAGTTGTCTTGTGTCATGCTTGTCCTGGTTGAAAGTGACAACAAAAGGACACGTTGATGAGGGAAGATTTTGTCACTTTGTCACCCCAACTTCGAATGCATTTTCAACGACATGAAAGTGGTGTTTTCCGACATCTGTGGTGGGTCCAAGATGGGGCACCCGCTCACAGGCTCATCGCTGTGAGGAATGTCCTGCGGGAACTGTCCCAACATCGAGTAATTGCTCTTAACCATCCAACTGAATGGCCGCCCCGTTTTCCGGATCTCACCCTGTGTGATTATTTTTTATGGGGGTATCTGAAGGGCAAAGTTTTCACCAGTCCACCTCGTAACATCCAAGACTCACCAGATCGCATTCAACAGAAGGTTGACATCTTACGACATGACCCTGCAGTGGTGAGACGAGCTGTGGCTGACATGCGTCACCGTTGTGAACTCTAAAAGGGAAGGCGGACACGCGGAAGGTGTCGGTGCATAATTAATTGTGAATTACGTAATGTGTAGACCATTGGTGTGCCCCAAATATCTTATCCAGGACAAGCATGACAGAGGACAACCTCATTCACTGGTTTATCCAAAGTGTTACAAATGAGTTCGGATGCCCCATTTCCAAGACAATGGTGTTCAGTCATGCATGACAGGAGGGATACCATCAAGGTATCATTAAAAAGAAACTGCTTCAACTTTTCGGAGATCCTTATACATTGTAATCATATCTCATGGTTTGGGCATATTTTTTTCTGGGACACCCTGTAATACGTAGGCTATAAAACACGATCCTGCCTGCCTTCGCTCGTCAGGGGACCGGGTTAGCGTAGTGGTTCTTTCCTCGCTTTTCTCCAGGTACTCCGGTTTCCTCCTGCCTCTAAAACTGGACCTTCTTCCTAACTCCGTAATGTGATGCTGATTAATAAAGTGTATGAATAAACGTACAGTTATTGGTGCAAATAGCCAGAGATGCTGAAAGCGCCATTAAAACAAAACAACTTCGCTCGTCCCCAACTGCCTGAGTGACAATTACCTACGTAGGCTGGTTATCGATCCCAACAATGTTACCAACTTTCAAAGGCAATAAAGCCTATGTAGGACCCACCTTGAAAACATTTAAGACTTGGTTTACCTGCACTTTATCATTTTTGAACAAACGAATACCAGCAATGTGGCCAGAAACGTGCTTCATAAAAACATCATTTAATAAACGACGTTGAAATTTGGGTTGTGTCAGGAGTAAGTTTCACAACGCCCATGGTAGGGCTGCAGCACCTACCCAGTGACTTCTGTAAAATATGCCTACGCTAAGACCTTAAAAAGTACTTTAACAACAATTTGTCCCAAAAACTGCGGTGCTAGTCAGACATATTTTTTGTATTCAGAACCTACGTGTGTTTGCTTGTACAAGCAAAAGTTATGATCAAGATTTTTACACGAAGCCACAGCAATCCGCGTGCCCACTGCGTTGGCGTGCAAGAAGTGTCATGTATTACTTCCAAAAGAACCGAAACTAAATACATTTTTTCATGTAGAATATTCTGCCCGGTTAGGTTTTAGAAAGTAGTTTGTTCTCCACGTTTCCGTAATTTCTCTTTCTTTCTTGCATAGAAGAATAGGTAGATAGAAAGAGAGTAGGTCAGAAGACTGGCAGCCAGCAACCCGATCTTAACCTGCAAATAACAAAACAACACAAGAAAATTGTCTCATTGAGTAATCACGACAAATAACCAACAGTGGGACTTGAGATAGGAAGTCCTCTTTATGCACCAAAACTTATTCGAAGTTGAACGGTCGATTATAATAAAAGTGATCTTCATAATTATATAGGATATCCATCTACCTTTACTTACAAACTCGATACCCTGTGTTGGCCAAGGCCATACGCCGGTGCACAAGCAGGACTTCTTAATTTCCTGCCTCATTTAATCTGGAGATGTACCATAACTACGGTAGCACTATGCACACTCACATGCATGTATACGAGTTTGACGCAAACATTTTATCTCAAGGACCCTCTAAGTGATAAAGGTTTCAAACCACAATCACACGACCCCAACTTCCAGAACCGGGAACTAAATAGAAATATTTGTATTTGTAATAGAGATATCTATATTAATATATTAATATTATTAATATATTAATATATCCATTAATTAATAATTAATGGATTAATATCTATATTTTCACTTTTAGATGTTAACTTTGCACGGCACATTCAAGTTTCAACTGGTATGCGGGCCTACTGTCTCCTAGGCCAAGATATTCTTACCCAGAAGTCATCGTCATTCAGAAGCCTCTGTGTGATAATGAAGAGTGGGTACTGCAGGAGGCTGAAAACTGCTGATAACAAGATCAACAAGCCATATAATGTGCCGAAATACTTCATGGGGAAACTATAAATAGAGAGTAACAACGAGAAGTTGAAATCATATACACTGTAGCCATAAACTCTAAAACAAAAACAAACAAAACAAAAAAGAGACACGTTCATGTTTGAAAAAAAATAATTAAGTCAGGGATAGTTTTCTTTTTTTTTCCTGCAGTCGAGTCAAACAAAATATAGACCTATACATTTTGTTGACATTCGACAGGATGACGACACAGCATATCAGTAAGTTCACAGGCTACATTGCACTTGTTAGTTTGGTGTACATGTACATGAATGCATACAGCGTCGCAGTATTCATGTCGAACTTGAGTTGGGCCAGATTCGTGGAACCCTATTCAAGTTTGCTGAAATATGTTGCCATGCTAAATAAATAAGGCTATGTTGAAGTGAGCATTTTTCCTATGAAAAAATCAAGCATATAAATTTGAGCAGGAAATTAATATTTTAAGCAGGTCACAAACTGAGAAATAAAATAGTACCATTTAGGTTTTGAACCTTGTGAAGTTGTGACATTTGACATGTTTCGTCATGATCTACCGATAGATTTTATCAGGAGTGGTCAGGGAATCTGACTATTTTTTACCAGGCCAAGTAAGGTCGGGTCTTTCTGTCTAAAAGCTTGTTTGTTTCACGTGAATTTGGTTTGCAATCAGTGATACGTCGTTGGTTAAATGGAACTGTAGAACCCAAATATTTTGGACAGAGTAAACCAGCTTTGGGATCACTCGTTGGGATCCAGATCCGTAACAAAAGACAGGCCCTGTAATAAGCGGAGTGTAAGCGCGAATATCAATACACAGGGCCCATTGAGTTTTGTGTATGCTTAGCCGACATTCTGGAAGTACATTTCTGATCCGTTCTTTATTGGGATGGTGAAATAGGGCTATTATTCATGTTGCACAAACTTGATTTCTAGCAATGTCTAACTATCGTCAAAACATTGTGGAGGCTGAAATGAAGTTTTACATGTCTATGTCAACGTGCCAAAATCATTTATCTTACAAAAGTGAAGTTCCGGAAGCTGTCAAGCTGTATACAAACGACCTGCTGATGACGGACAGGACGAAGGTGGCGTACTGGATTTCGAGTACTGGCAAAACGCCACAGATGCAAAAGACAAGACAAATGGACGTGCAGGTTGCATAGGCAATGGCGGCGTCTCTCAGATCACTATAGGGACCACGCTCTCGGAGTCTCTCTGCAGGAAAAAAAGTCAAATTTATTGGTGTTGCCTCTGTTGCTTAGAAAATTGCACGCTCTCTTGGTCCAGCTCGGTAGTTATTAAAGCTAACTTTACAGTTCGACACTTCATCTACGCTGAGATTCTGGTGTTGCCTTTGGACCACGCAACAACGATGAGGCTTAGGCCTAAAATGGACTTCACTGAAGGCTTTCCAATGTGTATTCTTTCATTATTAATAACAACATAAAGTGAGCAGCACAGAAATTGTGGGCTATTTTGTGAAATGGATTTAAAAAATAATATTGTATCCCCAAGAACTTTCCATTGTAATGGACCACAGGGCGCCATCTTGCCTCGATCGTGCACGCTAGTGAACAGAGACCTTTCTTTTACTATGCCATAAACAGCAAATTTTACCAATTGGTAATTTGCAAGTGCATCCCTGGCTATAAGTACAAATGCAAAAGAACAATTTACAAATATCTTACAATCCCAAAAAATAATACTTCCACCAAATATTATTAAAATACCTCCCATATTACATTTGTTTCCCATTTCTTCCACACAGCAACCGCAACTAAAATAATGCCAATTAGAAATGAAACTGAACCATTCGCAATTTTGCTCCCCGTTGCAGAACTTGAAGCAATATCTCGTTTTCACACAAATTCCAGAACACTGGCAACTAATTTAAGCATGTTGTTAAACGTTAATAATGTTCATTTGGTATGGTTTATATCCGAAAGCATTTTCTCTCCCCAAAAGGTATACACTGTGGTAAAGTGGATAAAAACAAGTTGTATGTTGGAATCATTCAATGGACGACTATTAATCCAAAAGACTTAAAGAATAAGTCATTCTTCAAAATTAATATTAGGCACATATATTTAAAGGTCTGCAGGATTACTGAGAAGCTTATTGACAGCTGCGTAAAATGTAACAAGAACAATTGAGCAGAGGTGGAGCTGCGGGAGTCCAGAGGAGAGTTCCACAAGAAGAGCGAGGAGAAACAAAAATGATCGCCTTATGTCTAAAGCAGTATTTGACACTTGTTGCAATAAACATGAAAGCAGAAAGTAAATGACTGCGCCGACACTCGCACATCCTAGGCCTAGAACACGCATTGTTCTTATGGATGAGGCAATGCCCGAGCTAGTACTGCCAGTAATACTGATGTAACTGGTAGTGATATTTGGCATAACGGACCTGGGACTACGCCTCCTGATCTTGCCATCAGAGGTGGACCTGGTGGTAGGCCTGTCAGTTGGCCGAGGCCTCCCGCCGCTGACGTCTATTGGCGGTAACGCATCCATCACTCTGTCGAGAGCGTTGAGTAAACGGTTCGCGGTCTCCTCGGTTATCATAACAAAATCGTTTTTGTATCTATAACTAAACGCTCCAAAAGTAATGAGCTATGACTTCATTGACACGCTGGGTTTGAGATCTGATTCACGCGCGCTGTCATGGCGTAAGCAATTGCCGCCCTCAATGTTCGCTTATATTGTCTTTGTTTCTTTTTGTCTTTTGATAGTTTGACTCCGTCCATTGATCCTTTCGTTTTGTCTTGAGATCCTTTGATTTTGCCAATCTTTGTGATTTTGTTATTTATGTTTGTCCTTTTATCGTTATTGTTAGAAATAACAAAACTGGACCAAAAATATTTTCATAGGATGCTTATGAAAATTAGGAAATGGTAGAAAAATCGAGAAAGAGTAACACGCTGGACAACACTAGTAGTTATACATATGAACTACCACCACTGCCATGAATAATATACGTCGATACACACGTCTAGATACGCGCGGCCCTGGGAAAACTTCTTAAATTGAGAAATGCCGTGTAAATAAGAACAAAAGATCGGTGGAAATATTTTGAGGCTCAATTTCACCTTCAGGAAGCAGTTCTTCTTCTATTTTTTTTTTAATTTACGCCTCCCTAAGCACATAAGCAATGTATTCTTCTGTGAATTTCGTGCACACGAAGTCTTCAAAACGAGAAAATTCAACAGAGGATGGGCAACTTGCTAATGACTATTCCTCATGATTTACGGGGGTCTGGTCAAGTAACCGCCGCACCTGTTTCAAATCGCTATTTCCGCAAGTCAAATGAAAGTGAAACCCCGTTTCACCGAGCACCTTCGAAGTGTCAAAGGCCATCTACCCGGACACCCTGCGGCGCGTCACTTCTCCAAGCCATTACGCTCGTGTGTATCCCCACCACGACAACGTTTGAGGATCAACGCTTAGAGAAGTAACAGCGCATCATCTTCGGACACTCACGCCTGGCGGGTTGACTGTGGAATTCTCTGCATTCAACCCACCAATCCCACATCTAGCCTCAACGAAGGTCTAGTCGGGGCGGAAATTCAGCCAATAATAACAAACATCTTTTACTGAGAACTGTCTTAATATACATTTCACATTACCTTCCTCCATCTGTCTGTTCTTGCACCGATTTCTCCGCTTGTTTCTGCTGAGTATCAACCCACTGAATGGTGCGCATAGGATGCCTCCTAGCTGGATGAAGGCAAGCGCGTTGGTGTATGCACTCACTGAAACCGATCGAGCAATAATCGTTTTAAATTACGAAGGTTTTTAACTGAACTAGACCCCTGCAGCTTTTTATTATCCTTTTTGAATTTAAAATCTGTCATTTAAGGTATCGGTGTGGTCAAACCATATCCTCCAAAACACACACAAACCAAATAAAACCGGTGTATCTACTAGGAAACGTTTACCAAAATGATACTGATATCATGGAAGTGGTGTATTGTAGAAGTACAGAACCTGAGGAGTTAATGGCTGTGCTAATAACAGATTTCGTCATACAGAACTGCTTGGTATAAAGGGCGTGTGACTATTCAGAGTTTAACGGCTGGGTGAATCCCAACTCCATGACCACTACTTCCTAAAATGGGAAAATAAATGCAGTGCTCGAATGATAAGACACAAACACCTTTACGAGCGGATATTAGGCCAAAGGTTTGCATATTTACCCGGAGCCATAACTGGGTACTTCCCGATTGTACAGATACTGAATAAGCCTTTTGCGAGTTAACTTTGACCAAAAATCTGGTACACTCAGTTCTTTAAATTCACGTGAACACAACAATTTGAATTATCCTTACTAAAACCACTGTTGCTATACCTCGTGATCCGGGGCAAGCTTTTGCTTAGTTACAAAAGAGACGCCTTGCAGCAATACACTGTTCTTAATGGTAAAAAGGGCACAAAGGAACCAGTCAAATCCAGAGATGGTGGTCGCTATGCAAAAGCTTGCCCCGAGTCACGAGGTATAGCAATAGTGTCTTTAGTCTGAGGAATTCAAATCGTTATGTTTATGTGCAGTCAGATGACTCAGTGCACCAGATTTTATTCAAATTTAACTCGCAAATGGCTTATTGAACCAAGTCACAAATAGGTATAGCACTCATTGTACATATGCTTTACGTTCCCTATCACGTCTACAACCGAGGCAAATACCCATCACTACAGACAACAAATCTTTGCCAAACGACCCGACATCAAAGATGGTGAATTATTTTACCTGTGCTTATGGGTTATATGTGATTGGAGCCACAACAAATAATCAGAATTGCACCTACCGATTTGTTCATTATTATTAGCAAGTTTATTCAGCACCGGGTTGAGCGTACTGACAAAAAACAAAACGTCTAGTTGAAGAATGGAAAACCAGAAGTAGAAAAAGGCGAAGAGTGGCGACAGGATGCACGACCTCAACGACGGAAAGTCTGTGGAGACGGAATTGATCTGTGTGTTGCTGGGTAATGTGATGCTTGAGTTGTCGTGTGTTTCAACCTCGACTCTTGTCGGGGATCCATCGTCACATTCGCCACTGCAGTGTTCTAGGTCTTTAAAGGCAAAAAAGCAAAGAAAATAGTAAGTCCATGCAATATTTAAGAGATTAACCCTAACCCCCTAGGGTGCTTGAAAAATCATATGAAATTAGAGGATCTGGGACTATCAAGGTTAATGATATTCGGTCTCTTAATCAGAAATCCCAAAATTATTAGAGAACTAAGGAATTCTTTGTAGATTACGAAGCTCAGATTTTTAGTTCTCAGAATAAACATGATTAAAAGTGAGATAAGCTTTTAAGCTGTTCACGATAAAGGTAGTTTGCTGTAGCACCATCCATGGATATCTCGTTACTGTGAGTATGTGTGATCCTGACACGGACCAGGGCCCTAACTAGTTGGCTTTGAGTTAACATGCAAGTGACCGTTGTTACGGCCAATAATGTAACAATCGGTCAATAATGTAATACCGACCCATAATGGAATAAAAATCGGCCGATAATGTAATAACCCCAAAGCGGCCGATAATGTAATAACACGGAGGCCGATAATGTAATAACTGTAGATTTGCTTGTTTCTTAGAAGGCTTTGGGGGACTTAGGTTTTCTTCAAGTTTTCCCTGCAGATCCCTCTTATACTAAAGAAACTATAGAAAGCTCAAAAATAAGCTGTGTGTACATGAGAACAATTAAGAACATAAATAGGAGGAAAAGGAGTAGTTTGAGCCAGAACAAGATTTTGGCAGGTGTGTGCAAGGATATTTTCCACTTTCATCTATTTTCGAGGTTAGAGGGTAGGAATCACAGTATATACTGTTGAATTGAGAGTTAGGATGCGGACCTGCTAGGGGACACTAAGGCTTGCTTCTTAAGGAGTATTATGTTCATTCTGACGTGTGAGCTCCTCAATTTAGCTTGTGTTCGTATATAACACAACAGTTTCGCACTACCCGATATTATATCATTGGCCGATTGTTACATTATCGGCTGTAACAAACATTCGGCTGGAGTGGATCTACGGAACCCCTGTAGCCTCATAAAGTACCATCTGGTTCTTCGGTTCTTTTTAGAAACACAGCAAAGGAGATTTCCTTGCAGGGTGCTACTGCAAATCTGTTACTTAATAACCGGACTAAAAAGTGGTTTTTCTATTTTACAAACCATTGTTTTCATGTTTCTCGACTTGTATCTGGCCCGTTTTTTCCGCCCGTTCCGTGTCCTCACTTTTAGGGTAGTACTCGCCCTCATTATCCGTAGTGGTATTGGTGTACACGTGTAGCGGTTCATCGACATGAATATTCAAAGTTTTGCCGGATACATGATTGTCAAAGTAATCTGGTGGCAGCGGCCAGGGGATACTCGCCTTCTTCGGTAGCAAGAGCGTGTTCAGTGTGAAGAAAAGCGTCGTACCCGTCAGGATAAAAAATGACGTTTGAACACGAATGTTGAGGTTTTCGTAAAGAACCTGTGAAAATGAAGACGACTTAAACGGTACGTTATATTGTGAAAGACATAACTGGTACTAATTCTTATAATTTGTCTTCTGGACCTTTCCAGAAGTCTGGTTTTGTGGTTTGACCAAAACACAAAAGAGTGCCAGGGGAAAATGCAGGGTAAAGCTCTTCGTGTAATCTTTACTGCTGACTATTGTAAAATCCGATCTTACAGTGATATTTGACAATCATGTTGCATTCATACTGTCCGCTAGACAGGAAGCTCTGTCTCTTAATTAACCTCTTAATAGCCTGTACGCACACAGCTTACCATTGAACTTGATCATAGCATGGAGTCGGCCTAATACCGAAAGAAATGGTATCCAGTTGTTGTGTTTGGGGTTGTACAAGACAAAGTGCAGATTCCAAAGAGAAAGGCATTTGGGTCTTCAGATTTCCCAAGTTCAGAAAGCAGCGGATCGAATGGGTACAGTACCGGTGGTACATGTACATTGAATACGTGTTTTTACAAATGCAAAAGTTGGCTCCAAAAACACTAACAATGTAGTTAATACTACTTATGATGGAAGGGGGCCATACTAAGAAACGACGATTTCGTGCGCATAGGAACAATTACGATTTTTAAAATCTTTTTACAGAGCACTCAAAATTCCACTAAAATTAGGAAATAATAACAAACGATTCACTGGGATTTTCTGAAGGAAAAAAATGAAAAAAAGCCAGAGAACACAAGAGAAAATGATCATCAAAGTCGCACCCCTGAAGATTTTCAATGGCTCGCTCACATTTCTTGCCCCCAAGGCTGTTTGAGCGCATGCGTGCATAATTATGAAGTTATTGGTTAAAAGGTCTATTACCCGCTGCCGGTCCCTACGTTTGGAGGACGTCTGTAAGACGTCTGGAGACTACGTACGGGACGGGAACCAGACTACATGGATGGGCTATTCACAAATACATGTATATGTAGTCGACTACCGGTACATTAGTCCCGGCCCACCATTGTTGACTTTGTTCGTACGTGAAGCGTTTTGTCTTGTTTGCCTTGTCAAGACTGACTGTTCTGTTAAAATCTGTAAAGTAAACATGTCGCAGGAACAGACAAAATGAAGCTTTGCACGTAGTACGTGTGACACATTGAAACATATTCCGGGTAAATACCTACACAAAGCGTATCACAAGTACGTGAAGTACTATTCACAGCAACAAAGAACTTTTTCTAGAATCAGTTGAATACTTAACGGCATGGTATGGTGCTCAGTCACTCTGGGGTCGGTGAATATTTGTCTTCGTTCACTGTAGGACCACTGGACCTGCATGTCCGAGTCGGCAAGTGTGTCACGATGTTCCAGTCAGTGAACTCAACAAGTGACATGTTTCCGTCTGCGCCAACTTTGTGCTTGTCCATTTCAACCCAAATCACAGATTAAGTCTTCGTGACAATTTAATTAGTTTACGGAAAATGTACTGATGTCACCTTTAGTTATTTCCAAAGTGGCACTTTAACAACAAAACTCAGGTAATCATTAAAAGCAAACAGTCCTGGCTTGCGCCCTATTGGGTTATAAAACACGCTCTCCACGAAATTATCACATCAGATCATCTCATCGTAGAAAAGCAATATAACCTCTTACACAAACATGATCACAGCAAAAACAAACTAATTTTGGGAGGTCCAATTGTTGTTACTTTGTTGGGGTTGGAGTTGATGTTACTTTCGGAATGACGCTCCACCCGTGGTGACCTCACTCTAAAAACAAATTGGTTGAAAATAACCAACATTTTGGTTATTTTCACACACCAATATACTCGATGTGTTACTGACAATCTGTGCCTTTTACGAGGAAATTCCTGAATACGTATTGTATTGGTTTTAACACCACACTTTCTAAATCCATTTCTGTTTTGCGAGAAAACGAAATTACACAAGGCAATTACAATGGTGTACATTACATCCCGCAGAAATATGATCGGTGCCAAGCTATAGGTATAACAGAATGAAAGCCTATTCATAATGTGAACAAAAGTAGGCCTCTTCCGATCCTTTCCTGTTGTGTGACAATTTACCCACAACATGGTTGGACATTACAGAAAAGTCACTGCTATACGCAATAAAGTTCAAGACCTGTGTCCTTGACGGACGGCTTTGCAAAATTTAGCGAAGAGTTTGTTGTCAACTAAGGGCTTCAAGATATTCATTATAAAATTGATTTCAACCTATATGGTAATATGAAAGGTGTCACTACTTCACACTACTTGGTGAGTCTGATGCATTTCTTGTATCGTGGGGCTGATCAACCCAACAATAGAGGCACTGTCATTTTGACTGATTTTTCGAAGGCCTTTGATCACATACCCCTGATCAATACATTTTTGCAGTTAGGGGTGAAGGAGTCCATTATTTCACGGATTGGTAGTTTTATTTTAAACAGACAACAGTGTGTCCGATACAATCATATTTTATCTGATTATATGACAACCAATGGTGGCCTCCCACAAGGTAGAGGGTTTTCATTATTTTACAAATGCTGCTGCATCTGGCACCAAGGCTAGTGTTTGGAAGTATGTAGATGCTCTAACTTTGGCTGAGAATTGTGATTGTTCTGCAACTGGAAAACTATAGGAGGACTTGGGCCGTTTTGTTGAGTGGACAAAAGATAATAATTTAACCTTGAATCCATCCAAATGTAAGGCTCTTCAGATTTGTTTCAAGAGCTATCCTCCTCAGCCGGCTTTGACCACTGATAACAAACTACTCGAATTTGTGGCATCCGCGATTTGTGGCAACAGGTTGATGACATGTTAAAAAATAGATTTCAGATGTTATGCACATTGAAAAATTGGGTTTCAGTAAAGATGATCTGTGAGGTTTCAGTTAAGATTAACTGTTAGGTTTATAAAGAATATATCAGGCCTTTGTTACAAAATAAAGATGTAGCATGGAACTCCATACCATGCTCTCTAATGTGCAGACTCACATTTTAGAGACAGTGCAATGAAGAGCGTGCAAGATTATGTTGGGCAGAAATTACAAATTCTATGAAGATGCAATCAAAGAATGCAATCCTGATAAATTTTTGAGTCGTAGACAAGATCGGAGTCGTAAGTTGGCTCAGTTAGTGATCAGTTGCAAACAGACTAAGAATCTCAACCCCCCCCCGAAAGACCTACAAGGAAAAGATTACGTAATTCACAGACTATTTCAGTGCTACATTGCAGGACCAATCGCTTTAGGAACAGCCCCATTCTATACTATATTGACCTATTAAATTCACAAATCCACCTGGACCGAATTCAAATCTTAACCGATTTAACACTACCTCTAATCATGGTCACATCTTTAATGAATTTTAGCTTTATTTATAAAATTATATTGACTTGTGCATGTGTATTTTTTAGTTAATTTTAATTTAATTCAGTTGGTTGTTAACTGTAGTTTTAACGTTACCTTAAACTGTTTTTATTGCATTCATTCAATTACATTCCTGTAATTTGGCCCGTCGGTTACCAGAGGAATGTAAACAAACCAAAATACAAAAACAAACGTTGACAATTTTTTATCTGCGTATAATAGCTGTTTACTCACGGCACCAGTCCGCCCTTCGAGATCCACGTAGGTTCAGTCCCCATAGACTGTGCGTGCATTTAGTTTGTGTATTACACTACCGGAGGACGCATATCGGTGGTGACCCATGTGAGGGATTTGTACTGGTATTTCTCTTGAAGACCTCGTGTGTAAATAAATTGCCAAGAATCTATCAAATGGTGATATTTAATAGCTTCTGGTAAGAAAAATCTCCGGAACAGAATCAAAGAAGTGGAAATTTTTGATTTTACAACAAAGGATATTTATGAAAAAAATGTTATTTTTTTTACATAAGTTTGTATCTGAGTTTCACAATATGCCAGATTTACCTTCAAATAACTTAGTTGCCACGTGGAAGACTAGTAACTCTTATGAACAAAAAGTTAATTACTTCTAGAAAGAAAGCCTTTCTTTGAAATTCACTTCTTTTTTCATTGGGACCTATTTTCGTCATTGTCCATGTTTTTCGCCTTACTTAATGGTGAATTTAACACTTTTGTTCCCTCGGATCATCGGTGATACTGTTTGGAAGACTGATTAATCGTTTCCATCAGCTCATTTCTTCACGATTGAGAGCCATTTGTCTGAAAAGCGGTTCATTATTCATACCGATTCAACACTGAGTCCGACAGCGGTCAAAAATGAGATATACGGATTTGGGGCATGGCATACACTTACACGCACACGTACACCCAATAAGAGTGCGTTTGGGAACGAGTTGACTTTACGGCATTGCACTACTGCGTACGGATGACGTCAAATTGCCTGACTATAAGAGGTACAAACTAAAACTTTCCGTTCTCGTGTATACAGTTTCCTTCTTGCATAGACATTCATTAGACTGTTCCTCGCCGATCATATCAGGTGCATTGCATAGACATTCATTAGACTGTTCATGATATTCCTAACCGATCACAAATAGAAAAAAGCCAGGGAGAACCCCGAAAAACTGGAAAACAAATCCCCTCGAAAATGTTGTCATTACCAAGTTCCAAGTTCTGACTCTTTTACTTTGGAGGTACGTGATGAAGAAAGGCAACAATTTGGCAGAAAATAGATTTTTATCGTCTGCAAGCTGGCAACGGGGACTTTGAGTGTTTAAATTCTAGTCGGTATGGAAATGAGGGGGAAACAGCTATATCTGAACTTGAGGTGAATCGATTACTTTTAGGGTCAACCTGTGAAGAGTCAAGAGCTAGCTGAGTCAAGAGCCATCTTACTGGCTTCTGACTTTCGTGAGATTAAGTACGCAAGCGCACAAACCAAGGGGGGGGGGTAACTATACCAGACCCAATGATTCTGACTACTCTACGGTATCCGGTATCACCCAATGTCCACGTGACCAAGACTGGAGGAATTCCTTTAGTTTTCCGGAAAGAGCCGAAATATTCCGAAATCGTCCCATCTATATTCGGCATGTTCGGATGGTGCCGTTGATGTTCGGTTATTCCCGGCCGGGTAGGTAGGCTAGCTGTTGAACGTAAACTCCTGTATTCTAATGGCAGCTGTTTCACTTTACACTGAAATCGAAGATCACCTTGCCCGAAATCAATGCAAGCTAGACGAATTAGCCATTTGCGAGGTAAATTTGAATAAAATCTGGTCACTGAGTTATCTGAGTGCACATAAACATAAAGATTTGACTTTCCCAGACTAAAGACACTGTTGCTATACCTCGTGATTCGGGGTAAGCTTTCGCATAGCGACCACCATCTCTGGAATGGCCTGGTTCCTTTATGCCAGCCCTCATTATCCATTGAGAACAGTAGATTGTTGCAAGGCGTCTCTTATGTACCTTAACAAAAGCTTGACCCGAATCACGAGGTATAGCAACAGTGGTTTTAGTAAGGAGAATTAAGTTGTTATGTTCACGTGAATTAAAGAACCCAGTGTACCATATTTGGGTCAATGTTAACTCGCAAAAGGCTCATTGCAGAGTATTATGTCCACACATACACGGTGCACCCCGTCTGTAATGAAATCAAAAACACCCGGGCTCTCAACTTGTGACCCCTGACCCCTGCGTCATATCTATTTATATCCGTGGGTAAAGCCTGACCTACGATTTTTTATCAAGAGTCGTCAGGGAATCTTTGGGCAGGGGACCAGACTAGGTTCGAACATACGTGGATCGCAAAACACTGTGAAAACTTATTTCCTACTTGTTTACCGAGCTAAACTTTCAACTTATCTTTGGGATCTTTTATATCCACGGAGTGGCATATAAAGAATGTTGTAGACCCCCTCTCTTAAAAGACGGAAAACTTTTTGAAGCAGAAATCATTGTAGGTACTCTTGGCACCTCAACAGTTAGCAAAATTTGGAAATCTGTCAGAAGTGTGAAGCGCAGCTGCAATAGACCAAGGCCCATATACCACAGGGGCTGATCCAATTTTGTTCGCATCACATGGTTGACGCCGATAGCGAATCCGTTTAATCTCTTTATTTTGTCCTAACCAAGGCACAAAATAGGCCCCCTGGGTGGTATATATTTCTTTGTGGGTCCGTCAATCTTAAGATGTAGGGGGAAAAAATTAAATATATAAAAATTGGCAATGAGCCAGGCAGGGAGTTGATTCTCTCCCCCCCCATCTGCACCTGTTCCGTAGCTGAGCTATTATTATGAAAAGTGCGCAGAACATGAGGTTTAAGGATAAGAAGCCTTTTTTCAAAAGTTTGCTTGGATTTATTCATTATGAACATTTATAAATCACTTTTTTCGGTTGAAGAGATATCACAGCACAGAACCCCACGTTTCTCAAAATAGGTGTTGAAGAAAATAAATTTGCCGCTCAAATTTCCTTAATACTGAAAAATAAAATAAATACTAGGATCATTTCAGATGTAGTGTAATGAACGTGCTTGGTTTTTTTTCCAAACTAATATGCTAATTAAGCTCTCTGCATTTCAAAATCATACAGTTTCCCCCGAAAAGTATTTTTACCGAACCGTAAAGTCTAGCGCCACAGCGAAGCCATTTTTGCAAAGGTTGCAGTGAATCAAGCACTTAAACCAGTCAAGATCAGTCTCTCAGCCTTGGTTTTTATCCAGAGTACCGAAACATGACATTGGTTAATATAACCTATACTTTACACTATTCCGAGTTAGTTTTATACACAATGATATACAGGTAGCACATCGTACCGTGCGACTTCACACCAAGCCTTAAAAATGTACTCGCCGCACAGAACTAGTTCTGTATACACAGCGTCATTTTCATAGTTAGGGGCCCCCTCCTCTAAAATAAAGAGGGTCAAAAAGTTTGTTTTTCTTCTTGTTATGGTGTTTGAGTTTTTGTTTGTTTTGGTGTTTGTTTGTTGGGTTGTTTGTTTGTTTGTTTGTTGCTTTTCGAAATATAATAAGAGAACAACAAAGTTGGAAATTTTCACTCCCATTCTTTCCTAAGGCATGCAAAAATCCCAATCTACAAAAAGGCCATCACGAAAAGCTATATAAAGACATTCCCAATTGTTAGGCCCCGAAAAATCCCCCTTCCCAAACATTTTGTTCTGGAGCCGCCCTTGGACAGCATATTGAATACAAGGTCATAATGCATATTGCCTTCTGCCCTATTTGAAGGTGTGATGTGTAACCGCTTATAATGCAAATAAGAAGAGATAGATCCACGGTTATAGGCCCCCTACTGTGATCAAGTTTCTTCTCGATCACTTCAAATTACAACGTTATCGTGTCCTTTTATGTAGATATTACCTGTTATCCCCTTTCCTCTTCGGACTTAATGAAAAAAAACCAAGTATGCACTGCGGGGATATTATGGGATGTCGAACTCTATGGAACCACGTAAGAGGAATTTGCTAATCAAACACGCAGACACTAGCAAACGTGTGCAAACATCGTTTATATCTATTTTGTCACTGAGCCACGTTGACGAGTTATCAATTGACATTGGATTTTTAACTGTTTTGGAGTGTTTGGACAAGTCTTGTTTGAACCTCGGCAACAGATACAGATAACAATTTATCAAATCTTATCATGGTCAAGCCTTTTCCGTTCACACCGTTTGACAGAGTTTGTTTTGTTCGTGTTTTTGCCTTTTTCATTTCCAGATTTAGACAAATTGATCAAATATAAAATTTGGCAATGACAAATTTTATCGCATTGGGGGTCAACAAAATTTTTAATAATAACAAAAGGGAAACACGACATATACCTTAACAACCAGAAACACCCATGCTGAGGAGTCAAAGCATCCACAAAATAAAGTCATAACTATCCATTTATTTCGTCCAAAGAGATTGGATATCTGGACAACAAAAAGAAATACAAATGAATAAACGTTATATTTTTGATAACAGGCTGGCTTATACAAACGGGGCATTTTGACTAAGGCGATACAATACTCTGTTTGCTTTAGAACACGGGTCTAAGTGGAACGGAAAAAAATTAAGATACATTTTACTCATTGCATCATCAGCAACCCGTTTGAAAAAAGGAGAAAATCCTCGTTATTTTGGCACGTGCGTGTTTGGTAAGAGTAATTACCGAATGTGAAAGAAGTTCTAGAACAAAAGACAACCACTGGGGTAAACTGAACTCCTGTAAAAGAAAAAATGGACAACTAGACTTCTTACAAAAGAAAAGCTAGTTCTGAATCGTCTCCGCCCTCACAGAAGAAGATCATTGTTTCTACCAACTCTCATGCGACTTTTCACCTTTTGATATTCAGAAGCTGAAACACTCGAACAAAAGTTATAATTTAAACTCACAAATTCCACATGTACAGAAATTTTGATATTTTGTATATTGAAATAATCTGATCCAGCACAGTTCGATGTGATTGATACGGGCTGTGACCCTATATCCAAGACCGGGACAGTGTTTACATGGTCGGTAAGGTTCCATGACCGGTATAACAAGAGCGCCTCAGCCATTGATTAGACCAGAAGTTGCAACCGCTTCCTGTTGAAGCCTTTGTTACAAATTTAAAAGTCACGGTCAGGTCATGCAAGACGCAGCTTAATCTTACCTGCAGGTTAACAACGAGGAGCTGAACACCACCAGCCGCTACACAGATTGCCGCGGGGAATACCAGTATAGGACTAATGAAGCTCAGCGCAAACATCAGACTACCAGTCAACATCAGAATGCTAAGTATTGAAACACCGAGACGATTGCAATATCAAAAATAGCCTTGTACGTTTGCAGGTGTGTCAATTAAAGTGGTGGATTTGAGTAGTTCAGGCCGTTTTCAGGTCAGGTCTTCAGTGGCTACTTCGAATTTGCCATTGTGAATTTGCGTTAAAGAGCCAAAGCCACTAATAACATTGCTTGCCCAAGACTAGTGAATAGAGGCGCCATAAGACTTGTTGAGGACATACTCTACAAACGTAATGAACTGTTCAAAATATTGTAATAAAACCTAAAAATTTTATTTGCAAAGTTACAAAAGACACATTATGAGACATGATATGCAGAGAAATATTCATTGATTTATACTCATTAACCCTACACAGCATTGTTTCCTCTGATTTCATTGGTGCTAGTTATACGCTCCATTTTGGAGAGTGGTATTACAACTGTGGGAATTGTATTTGTTTTGACCCAAAAGCTGTTGTAAATGGTTCAAAGTTGCTACATGGATGTCCTCCACACTCCCAAAGAAAAGAAATGGCATTGAAATTTTTTTAGGTTGGGGGTGGGTGGGTGGAGTGGTGTGTAACCGAAGATCTGACTGACTATGAGCAGAGCTGATTTGGTTAATGCTTGTCTAGACATGTGTCTCTATGGTCAGCCTAAGCCACGAACATCACAGGGGCCCCACCCCCATTGAAAGGGTCCTCGGAGGGCATTTCCATTGATAAGTGCAGGCCTGATGTAAACAATCACTTGGGACTCACATCTGGAAGATGTTTGTACACAGTTCAATTGGCCTTACTCAGGGACCGGCTCGAAATTTTTTTCATGGCTACGGGGAAGCCCATGTATATACAGCGACTATACCAGGCTTTTCAGCATGAACAGAGGTAGGATATCATGGAAGGTTTTGATAGTTGGCCGTATTTTTTTATCAGGTAATTAGCTAAATGGCACTCCAAAACGGAGCTGATATTGTTGTAGGCAGGGTTAAGAGTCTAAAAAATATTCTTGGCATATCCTGTATGATTTTGTATCCATACTATAAACAGGTACTATAGGTTTCCCCGGCCAATTTCGGAACATGTGTAAATGAATAAGTAAAGGCAGCATTCCTTTTCGAGAGAAGTGGAATGAACATTCAAATCCCCGTTTCTATTTAACAAATAAAAATTCTATTTCAGTGGGGGTGCATTCAGTCGTATATAGTCAGTGTTTGATCTATCGATATTGCACTGGTTTAGAATGTTGACATTCATTTTTGCGCGAAATTGAAAGAACCTCTTCAATCCTGCATTTATCTTGATTTGAATCAAATCTATTTCGCAAAATGTTCAGGCGATTTCGCGGAAAGTGTTATAAAGGTATGCCTGGTCAAGAATTGGAATTCGTGTGTGTTGTAATAGAAGTGTTTAGTTGAATGGTTAAATGTTTGAATGTTCGTGACTGAAATAGACTATTCATGTTGTCTTAAAAAATATACCGACTATTGTATGATTCCTATACAAACACCGACACCGAGGTAACCTTTCCTTCTCGTGCTACGTTTTTGCTACAATCACATAAAAGTTCACACACGGCCTTCTTGCAATGGATGAACGAGAAAATACAGAAAAATCACAGACTTTAATTGGCGTACTATTTGATGATAAACCACGTCACACTATAATTCTTCGTGAGTAACATAACATCCATCATCAAAGTGATGTCATGATTTCTCTAACCCTGTATATTTCTAATCAAATTGAGCGAAAGTTTTGTAAACCTGAATTACAGCAGATGAAAATGAATACTCAATACTAACGGTTTACGGTAAAAGACAAGTTTTCGGTGAATTAATTGCACAAGATTGCACATTGGTTACAACTGGCAACGAATACGCCAAATCCAAACCCTAATCACTAATTTGTTACCTGAAGAATCCAAAACGAAGTCGAATGCTCGTATTGCGAAAATTAAACCAGGTTTTAAGTCGTTTTCAAAATCCACACCAAATTGAATTTTTATTTTACAAATTAAACGGTGCACTTTCGGAAATTGGCCGGGAAAACCTTTGTTACATCTGGGGGGGTCAACAAATTAATTTATGAGACAAAATACGTCGTTCACCAGATTGAAACTACTGTATTTGACTTTAGACGAATTCCGCACGATAACGATCACCGGGAAAATTTTCACTTTGGCGTTGACTTAATTTTAAGGCATTCACGTTTCGGTACAAAATCCAGCTGAAAAGAAGTTCATGAATAATATGGCAGCAACAGAGGAAATCAACGATTTCACCGCTTGGGCTGCTTCCAATATTTACCTATAACCAGCTAAGGAAAACTCAAACACAGATAAACAGTTCATTGATATTTGGCGTCCCGTGGATAATCCTTAACAATAAACAAACCTACAATATAATGCCTTGCGTGCTCATAAAACCACTGGGTGACGTCATTGATTCGGAAAAGTATCAGGTGGGGTTCTTTAGGAGGTAGGCCTACAATTAATTGTACATCCTTAAAAACTGTGAGATCAAACTGGACTAGACAAAGAAACTGCAACCTTGACATAACATTACTACTGCATGTATAATGACAGACGTTAACAGTTTAGTATACTTATTTGACGTACGATAGGTTGATGTTCGCTTTCTCTTCTTCTACTCGCAGCGATGTAGTGTGTTATATGACGATTATAGATCTTCATTTTAAGTGATCTCATTTTTATCTAATTTTTATTATGTCCACTTTGTGTTATAACAATTGTATTATGTATTTCTTCTTTATTTTTATTTATAGGCCTATGTTAATTTTAACCTAATTTAATAATACGTCTTTGCGTTTTCTTTAGTGTAACAATAATATTGAATTTAACTGTGTCAGTGTTTAGGTTCACATCTAACCTTATCCAATTATTTTCAGTTCAGATTTACTTTCAACTCTTCCTCAGTTACGTAAATACTGACCAAAAACAATTTGTCTTAACTGAATACAAGAAGGAGGCAAGGACAGGTCGTGTATATGACTACAATATGAACAAATCATTTCAAATTTTAAATCAATACACCTGTAGTTCGCATATGATATTTCAATTCTGTTATCTTCCAAGAAAAATGATTGTCCTGGATAATATATCAGGGGCACACCGACTATTTACATATTACGTAATTCACTGTTAATTATGCACCGACACCTTCCGCGTGTCCAAGTCCATTCCTCCTGCAACTGGTTCCCCGGCTGTTCGACAAGTTGTTGTCAAACTGCAGCAATGTTTTCAGGAGTTTGCACTGTGCTCCTCCTTCCCGAATGACCCTTATTCAAATTAAGGCTTGTCCCATGTTCTCGGTATTTGCGCACATTTTCCCAGATGGTCGATTTTGCCGGTGGATCCCTATCAGGGAAGGCTTCCCTAAATACAGCTTGGGTGGCTTGAAGCTCTTGTTTTCAAGAAATTTCGTTACGACAAACACTCTTTGCTCTTTGGTAAGTTGCACCATTTTGCAGACTTGCTGTCCTGCTTCGAACACTTTTCAACACTGCACTGGCCTACCTCGGGGCAAGTCAACACATTTAAACCAGATTATTGCACAACTTGAAAGAGAAAAAAGGCAATTATCCCTCATTAACATGACCTTTTGTTGTCACTTTCAACCAGGACAAGCATGACAGAGGACAACCTCATTCATTGGTTCATCCAAAGTGTTACAACTGAGTTCGGATGCCCCATTTTCAAGGCAATTTTCAAGGCAATGGTGTTCAGTCAAGTCAACAAGGTTTCATTAGAAAGAATACTGCTTCTACTTTTCGGAGATCCTTATACATTATAATCATATCTCGTGGTTTGGGCACATTAACCCTTTCCTCAGGGTTGTTTTTTTCTGGGACACCCTGTAAAGTGATAGGACGCAAGGGTCAGGGGTCACAAGTTGAGAGCCTGGGTGTCTTCAATTTCATTACAGTGGTGCATCTTGAGTTTGTTTCTGCATTCAATTGGGGACCCTGAACAATAAGGTCCCCGATTGACAGAGAGTCCCTGATTGACAACTGTGTGCAAAACATATGAGTGGTCTTCTAAAAAGTTAAAGTACAAACAAAAGAGGAACAATAGGGGGTCCCCAGTTGCAGGCAAATGCACACTGGTGTGTGCGTGTGGGCATTTGCCAGTCGTCGTTAGGTCATGATTTCAGCCTAGGCGACCTTCGATTTCAGTGGCAAGTCAAAAATTGTAGGATCAACAGCCGCCACTAAGATACGGGAGTTTACGTTCAACAGCTAGCCTACCTACCTGGTCGGGAATAACCCAACGTCAATGGTACCATCCGAACATGCCAAATATCGACGGGGCGACTTAGGAATATTTTGGCTATTTCCGGAAAACTGGAGGAATTCCTACAGTCTTGGTCACGCAGACAATGGGTGATACCGGACCCTTGATACGCAGAGTAGTCAGAATCATCGGGTCTGGTATCCAAACTGTACCACAGGCCTCTGATGAAACCTGTTCGGAGTCTCCTTCAGTCAGCAAGGCACACCTACCTAATATACCCCTTACCTCATTGTTGAAATTGCAAATCTGACTTTCTCCAGGGGGGGTCCTTAACTCTCGCAATCGCTGTACGCTACAAAAGCCACTGGTCTGGGTTGTAGCTCTATGAGATAACCTACCTCAAGCATTCCCAAGCTTCATGCACATACGTTAGCACCTCCTCTTAGAAAAACTTACTAACAGCCATTAAATACAGAAGAAATTACACCTGATTGGCTAATCATGGCAATGGGGCACCTACTTTCAAAAGGGGGGATCGATTGAAACCATCAAATTATCGGCCAGTCTCCATCACATCCATATGTTACAAAATCCTTGAACACACATTTTTAGAACAAGTTGATACTATTATAATAAACTTTTTCAAGGCCTTTGATAGAGTTCCTCAAAAGAATTTGCTTTAATAGTATTGCCTTTACTCGCACCGATATCTACAAATGATCCTTGTTTCCTTATTGGAATAACCTCCCACAATCAATCACCTGTGCTTTATTTTCCCAGTTCAAAACCACCCAAAGTATAACTCGTGTTCAACGGTCTTATATGCATCTGTGTTGTGATATCCCAGTGTGGGGACTGTGCCAAGTACCGTAGAAGTAGAAGATACTTAAAATATAGATAGCTGAACTCCCACCATGCATACGATAGAGTGATAGGTTTTCCGGACAATTTCGTAGTGTTAACTCGTGTGGTTTCCAAGTCAATTAAATTCCGCCAAGATTCGAAATGAAATGGATTAAAGACGTTGGCCGCGAAAAAAATTTGATTGATAGTTTTGGCTTTATGTGGTTTATAGGCTATACGCCGTGCTACTGCCGTGCCGAACTCAATTCAATTTTTAAAAGTTAGGTACGACAATAGCACGTTTGGTGCAATTCGGCTGAATTCGGCTCAGCAATTGAATTTGGCACAGCAAGCCACTGCATATGAACGTGCTAAGTTAGTGGGATGTGTTAAAAGATGGCACGTTGCTGACTAAATGATACAGATACAGAAGCCCTTTAGCTGACAGGCTTTGCTGCGCTATCGTAGTTCCATATGGCAGTGTCACGGCACTGCTCTATTTGAATTCAGCGTTTAGCGCAACTGCCGCGCTATTGCCTCGCTCATTTTAACTAAGTTTCGAAAGGCAGTAGCACGGTATTTAGTCTGGGCCTTGCACTAAAGTGAATAGTTTTTATATTGCTTAAGTTTACATGGAAGAAGTGTCAAAGCATCAGAACATTGGCAACTCTGAGTGTAATGGAAGGTAAAGGATTACGATAATTGAAAGTCAACCACTGCCTAGCACCGCCTATAGGCGTAATCGCGGAGGTCAACTTATTGAGACCTTAAAATGGAATTAGGCAACCTTTATTCACGTACATTTTTCCCAAAGACCACGACCTGGGACCAACTTGACCTGGGACCGAACCGACCTCGTACCGAGTTGGTTTGGGACCGGGTGACACGCAACCACTTTATGTGCATGTACATGTACTATGCATTGTCAGTGCACCTGTCCGGAAGTTGCAGATGAATAACGACCGATAAGGAGTACAGCTTTATGTACATGTACATGCAAATGTTACACCAGCCAACCGGTTAGGGCATGTCACACAGGCACCTAATTTTCATATCAATGCCATGAAAGCAATGGTGTATCACCTTATAGTTATCCTCATGAAAAGAGTTCCCATTTTGTCGTACAGCAGCCCCAGAGGCAGTGCGGCCCCGGACACAGAGAAGTTAGCTACGGTGAATACTAGCTGCAGCTCGGCGTCTTGTTCGGCGCAGGGCCCTTCAGTGTAGTTGGCGTGGGTAACTGTAGAACTTGATGAGGCTGTCACGGTCGCGACGGGAGGCTCTCCTGTGCTGCCCAATGACTGACATTTATCTGCAAAGTACTTTTCCTGTTTAAACACAAAAACCAAGGAGGCCCAGCCAAAAATCCATCCTCCAAAACACAAACACTCGAGTGCCCCGACAAGAAGGAGACTTACTTTACGTACCCTTCGTGTGAACATTTTCATCAGAGCATGCAGTGTTTTGTGATACTGATACAAGCAGCCTTGTTGCAGTACATGTGACACAAAAGCTATACTCCGCAGTCCACGAAATTCTGGCTATAAGTCAATGTTTATTTGAGAACTTAGATGCAAACTCGATCTGGCCTTCGGACTTGCGGCAACAGTTGACACAGTAAGGTTAAATATTAACTAGCGCTGAGCACGATTCGCACAACCACCGACTCGAAATCCCCCTTTTGAACTAACATGTCGGAAGTTTGCAGTTTCCCTACAGGGGACGAAAATTGAGCTACTCGACACAATACACATAGGGTGCGTTCGATTAGCTTCCCTGAAAACATCAGTGGTACACCAAGGGAAGCCTCGAAATGAGGCTGATCGAACGCTGCAGTGTATTGGCCAAGGCATTCTGGGAAAAAGGTCCACCCGTAACGTCATTACACGTCATTACTTCGGGCAGCCTCCAGAGACCTGCTCGCCAGCTGGGGTAGTGATGGCTGACACCAGGGCAGGCACGAAGATCACGTGATGGCTAAATGAACGCTCTCGTGTAAATACGATTGGACTTACACGTGTAAGCTAATTAATCGAACGCAACCATTTGTTCATGCCCCTCACTTAGTTTGTGCGCATGCGCACTGAATCCCACCATAGCCAGAACCAAAAAATGGTTCTTGACTCTGACAGGTGGACCCCAAAAGTAATTGATCAACATCAAGCTCAGAAAAAAGTTGTTTGCCCCTTATTTCCATACCGATTAGTATTTAAACACTAAAAGTCCCTTTTGATAACTTGCATGCGATACAGATCCTTTTCCTGCCAAATTTTTGCCCGTCTTTCTTAAGTACCTCCAAAGTACATGTAAGGGTCAGAAGTTGGAAGTGAAGCCTACATTTTAGAGGGGATTTTTTCAGTTTTACCGAGTTTTCCCTGACATTTTTCTACTTGTGAATGGTGAGGAATATCATGAACACTCTAGTGAGAAAGTATCATGCAAGAAGGCAACCGTATGGACGAGAACGGAAAGTCTCTTAGTCGTGCAATTTGATGTCGTTGTACGTATATTATTAGTGCAATGCTGTAAAGTCAACTCGTAACGAAACGCACTCGTCCCAAGGTGTGTGTGCGTACGTGTATGCCATGCCCCGAATCCGGACATCTCATTTTTGACCGTTGTCCGGTCATGTCGGACTCAGTGTGGAAATTTGAAATCCGCATGAAAAACGAACCGCATTTCAGACAAATGGCTCTCTATCTTGAAGAAATAAACTGATGGATACAAACGATTCATCAGTCTTCCAGACAGTGTTCCACCTAGAAGTAATAAACTTTTTTTATCATAAGAGTTACTAGTCTTTCATGTGGCATCAAAGTTATTTCAAGGTAAACCCGGCAAAATTGTGAAAATTAGACGCAAAGTTAGCTGGAAAAAAGACGACGACGACCATACGTAGCTATTGTGCAAGCGCGAATTCACAAACAAAATGCACGCACAGTCTATGGGGACCGAACAAACGTGTAAACCTGAAAGTTGACCTTGATGGCACGGTTCCAGAACCCTTGGATGGGAAACTTATAATGTGCCAACATTTTTTAGGCTAGAGCTCCAAAATTCTATTTGCATCGCTGCGAGCGTGAGGACGCAAGAGGTCATCAATATAAAATCAGGTTGTTCCACGGGCTCACGCGTTTCGTTTTCGCTCCAGTTGTGCTCATTCCGTTTCCATGATCCTGCTAAATTGGTCAGCTTGCCGCGAGTTTTAAATGTAAACGCTAAGGAAAGGCTTTGGGGATTGTCGTGCACGACATTTTATGATGATCGGTTTAGGGCCCGTTGCAGTGGAAAGACTTTCATGTAGACCTGTGGGAAACCCTCGGTGTAATGTACTGTTGCACACCCGCAAATCTTGGAATCCTAGTGCCCCGTAGTTTTACTCGTTCTCGGTCCTTGCATTTCTCAGGGTCTCTTATTTAGCTCAGCTATGCATTATGGACATGCAGCAGAGACGTTAATTTTGTATTTAGTTATTCATGCTGTACTCTGGCGTGATCGCGTGTTCCTTCACTCCTTTGTCCTTGTGTTTTCTCTGCTCAGTTTTGGCATGTCGAAATTCCCCTTCACGTGGCTGCGTGGTTGGGCGTGGAAGGTTCCCTGAAATGCTAATGTTCAGAAACCTCAGACTTTGTAACTGTCAATCATTCGCTACAGATGACCGGGTGAGCACTTTCACGCTCCCGTCTCTACACTTTGTACACGTGACTTCTTATTCTGTATTTTACCTTTTTACACACGACACTTAGATTCTCGCACACGACTCTAGCAGGAAGTCATGTGACCCTTTGAGATGGAAGATTTTCATTGGTCGAGCTGTTTAGCGACGCTTAGATTTTATTAATTCCTAAGCCTCTAGAATCCTATAAATAGAGTAGATTTTCCCTAAGTCGTTGGTCAGGCGCGGCAGACCAAACCCTAGTTGCGAGAGCGGAACCTGACGTAGTGCGGCGGTTGGACCCTTTCCGAGAGAAGTGCGATAGTAACCATTCTTATGGCGAAGAAATGTAACCACATGAATGGCCAGCTAGCTTAGCTTGGACCGATGCGAGAGCAGTACGAATTAGCCCAGGGTAGAGAGTCGTAGCGGCCCGTCACCGCTACGTCCGAACCGATTGCCGGGTGAGACACCCCCGTGTCCCTTGTCCTGCTAACTAGCCCAGTCCTCCCCGTCTCTACACTGAGCCAATGGTACACAGTGCGGCGATCTTATCATTGCACTCATCACGTTGCGGTCTGAGCGGCAGTATGGTCGGTACATACCGGCGCTGGCCCCGTCCAGCCCTTGCTAGTCACCGTGGTGGTCCGGGACAGCTCCCACCACGGCCCGGCCCGATTAGTGTGGCCTAGCTGTGCGATGCTACACACACGTACCGTACCCACTCTGTCCGACTTGCATTTCCAATGTTCCTGCCAAACCGTAGTTCAGTTACACTCGTATGCAACTTCGCCTCTCTTTAACTTTTGCCTTTTGTGTGTTGTATTATGTAAAGCTACACCTTCTTCCAACCCACATTGAACTTTAATGAAGAGAAGTGAGAGCAATAAACCAACCATACAGTTTGACTGTCACCCAAACCCCTTGTTTCACGTCCACATTTTAATAAATTGTTGACCCCAAATATAACATCCCGTATAGACACTAATAAAGTCCATGCTACCATCGACTTGATATTTAGGAAAGCCAACAGTATTTTAATGAAGATGATCACCGGTTTGTTACAGTCTTGCAAAATCTTTTGAAAACACTGACACACATATGTGGATTAGTGTTTTAAGGTGTAACAACTGAGCAATAATAATGGTGGATAAACGAGAAATAAGAAATACTAAATGGACAAACAGGCTTCTAGGACAGACAGGCTCCAGACAATACAAACGTGCAAGGGCATTTTCAAGAGATAACTAGCCCTGCGTTGGTGGCAGACAGCCTTTAAGTGCCTAATGGTGTTATGCACAGTGGTTCTTAGCGTAAGCCGACACTGAGAAATACAAAGGATTGGATTAGTTTAGTTGCAAATGCTCTGGCCAAGATGCCATTTTAGATATAGCTTTAACAAGGAAACCTGTGATAATGGGGATATCATAAGGTAGCTCACAGCAAGCAGTTACTTGGCGACTAAATGAGTTCAGGAGAAATTTAAAAGACAGTAAGTGAGTTCGTGTAGTACGACTCAATAGCAAATTGTTGGCAAAGGCCTACAATACATGACCAGACCGGCCCCTCGATATTCAAAGAAGGATGACTCCAGGTAGGGTGTGCAATTGCAGCACAGACCCAATTCAACAAGTTTCAGTTTTGACCTGGCAGTTACAAGGAGCTTTGCGAGCGAAGGCCTCAAGAAACCTGTTCTTGGGCAACATCACAGCTGTAGATATTTTCGTACTATATCTGGTAAAGAGATGACAGTCATAAACACATATATTCGGAAATAAAATATGATTGTAAAAAAATGGAAAATGTTGAAAATAAGATTAGAAAAAAAAGTGGAGAAAGAAGAAAACATTACGGCCTTACTTCTCATTTCAACAATCGTTGGAGGATAAAGGCGGATCGAGGCAATAATTTTTTTTACAGCGTAGAAGAACATTTTTCTTTTGGCCGCCCATAGAAGGTGCGGCTAAGATTTATAAATAAAGCAAAGGTCTGTTTTGGTCATACAAAGCAACGGATAAGCCAGTTGCGATACAAATCAAGATGCATTTCGACAAGATTCAAGGGATATGCCCGAAAAGAAGAAGTGAAAGGCAATGTTTCTGCGAGAAGTAGGCTTAAGGGACGGATCCAGCTTCGGGTGTCAGGGGGCAAAGTTTAAAGAGAAATGCTGTTTTGAGCTCATTGAATATGATCAGAGAAATATGGAAGGGCTGCGTAGCACCGTGATCAGAATATTGACATGAATATAATACAAAATCAGTGCTCTGGAAAATGTAATTGCCGAGCTTTAAGTAACCGAGTACCTTCTTCAGGGCAAGCAGATTCAGTTCTTAATAAACCCAGAAAAATCCATTTTCATTTCCCCCTAGATGCAGCGTTCCAAGTTCGCAAATGACGCGCTGCTCCAGTTTCTTACGCTGTACATTAGATGACGCTTTCCGCAGGATGCAGACGCTTACATCACCGAGGGAATGTGGCGGCGCGCAAAAGTGCTGCGCAACAGTGAAACCGGGTGCTTGTTGGAACACACAGCGCAAGTGTTTCACAAAGCGATCACCAAGGCGACACTTGGTCCCTCCGATGTACAGTTTACCACAGCAACGACATGTAATGCAATAAAACACATTACTAGTAATGCACGTATGATCCCCGCGTATTCTGTACCTACCGCGGGGGCCGACGACCGACGGGCTGTTAACTATGTAGGGGCAGGTGTTACATCTGGGGCGCTGACAAGGGGAATCATGCTGCCTGCTTTTGACGGCGAGACAAAATTCACCAGGAACGTACAACCGTGTACCCGACAGAACGATCGCGCCTACACACGAAAATCGGGGTTCGGTGAAAATGGAAGCTGTGGCCGCACCATTTCCGAGTGCACCAAAATGTTTGAGAAGAACATTGCGTACCAGGAGGTTTGAGGGTGGTATGTGGTGAGTACAAGGGGGCGCCATTACGTTGCTTGGCCCCGGTGGGTTTCAGAGCCGTTTCGCGCAGGATTGAAGATACGGCGTTGAAGGCAGCATCTACGGCTCCC